AATTTTTCAAACCATGTATCAAAGTCTTCTTTAAAAGGCTTCAGTGATGGAATTTGAAATGTGTTAAGAAATAGTTTAGTATAGATATTAAGGAAGATATTGACATTAAATTTGTTATCATTTTTGATTTAAAGAGAATTAGTATTAATTGCAGTATGGCTAATAAAGTAATTAAGTGTAAGGCGAATAGGCATGATATTTAGATCCTTTGCAAATTTTTCAGCATGGATAGTTTGGTAGGTTGAATTAAGAAAAAGGTGAAGGCGAGCAAGATTTAGAGATATTTGTAGTCGGTTTGATGGTATATAAGGGGGTATATTGTAATGAGATTAAAAAATTTTTTTATAATTGAGTTTAGTGAAAAGTATAGATATAAATTTAGCTAGAAGAAGTTTAAAGGTGTCATGAAGAATTTCAAAGGGGATAGGGTATTTGTATTAATAGTAGGGTTGGTTTTAAATACAAAGTTGGTTAAGAACTCAGGATGGTGGCTTGTGAGGGTTTTAAGCAAATATTTAAAGGAGTATTTTGAAGGAGTTTTGTTTGAGGAGGTGAATTGAATAATTTTGTCAGGGGCAAAATCAATAAGATGAGGTTTAATAAAGTTGAAGATTTGTTGAGAGAGAGGTGTATTAAGTTTGGTATTATTTTCCATTTCCTTGGTAATTGGGAAGGTTTTGAACCAGTCAAGGTCATTGGAGTTATCACGTTTGTTTGGTTTGTCATTATTGTTGCTATTGGTTTTGTTGCCATTATTGTTATTATTGTTGTTATTGTTGTTGTTGTTATTACTATTGTTATTGTCATTGTTGTTGTTGTTGTTTTCATCAGTATTATTGTGATTTTGAGTATTTGGTTTTTTGTAGATTTTTAAAGATTTGTAGTGAGCTAGTTTTTCTGCTGGTGACATTTGCTTGAAGGCAAGGATAATTGCAACATTTTTCTGTTCGTCAGAAAGAGGTTTGGTTTGTTCGAGGGGTTTAATTGAGATATTAATAATATTTGGAATACAAGTACAGTGGATAAGACGAGTTTTAAAGAGTATAGAGATTGTATAGTCAGGTGCATGTTTGTTATTGGTAGTGTAGACACATAGTAGGTTTTTAGTTTTACAGATAACACAGGTGTGTAGATATTGAGAGTATGCTTGGATAGTTGCAGGAGTTGTATCTGTTTTGAATTCTGGGAAAAGAATAGTGGGAGTAGGTCGAGTAATAGGAGAAGAGATAAGTTCATCAGTAATTTTTTTATAGTTTTTTACAGAGATTGTAGTAGGGGAAATGTCTATTGCTTCAGGATTTCCTAAGGTAGTATGAGTTAGAGTATAGTGATAAGAGGTAAAGTTTGTATGGTATTGATTACAAAAACATGTAGCGATAATAGGTTGAAGGGGACAAGGAAGTAGTGAAGTTTTTTACTGTTTTCTTCGTAGTGAGTAGGTTTGATGTTTTGTGCTAAAACACGAAGAGAAGATATTTTACTTTCATTCATTACTACTCCGAAGTGATCCTTATATTTGGAGTAGTAGTAGTCAATATCATAGGAGTCAGGTTCCTGACTAATTAGAGTAGGCATATTTAGGACTTAAAAGGATGAGGTCAGAAAAGGGTACGCGAAGTGGTATTTTTTGTTTCGTGTAACATATGTAATATGATGTAACACAAAGTGTGACTAGTGTGGCTAGTGTGGCTTGGTGGCTAGTGTGGCTAGTGTGGCAGGTGTGGTACGGAGTACAAGTATGTGTTACTAGGTTAAAAATAGATTAGATTTGTACTATATGCGGTGTAAATTAATAAGAAAATAAAAAAGTAAATAGTTAATTTGTGCTAAATTAGTTTGAGATTTAAAAGGAATATGTGATTTTTAGGTGAACCAATGGTTTTTCCTGGGCTGTCACGTGACCTAGACCCGGGTTTTGGAGGGGGTAAAGAGAAAAAGAACAAAGTAGAGTAGATTTTAAGAAAAAAGCTCTGAAGCGGTTTTTTAAAGGTAAAATGCTGAGTTTTGGTTCGTTTTGAGTGAAATTTATGTCAAAATGAAGCCTGAGTTGAGCTGGACACAACTCTTTTAATGAGCAGGTGCTAATAACTTAATAGAAATTGAGAAATTTTTGGAAGACTAGTATAATAGTTTAAGTAAAATATCTTGACGAGTTTGAGTCCGAGAGATACAAAGTTAGACTATTCTAAAGCAAAATTTTGTGTAGAACAATTTTGCTTAGAAATCTAAAAGTTGTTTACTTAGTAAAGTTTTTAGTTATAACAAAATATTTTTGAGAAGTTTTGGTACAAGTGATCTACAGGAAGAGTTAATGATTTGCGTCCATAACTTATATATATAGTAGTTTATAAAGTATATTTATCTTATTATTTGTATAAAAAACTTTGAAAAAAGAATCTAATCTAATAATAACTTTACAACATATACTATGAATACAAAATCACTACTTGTGCTAATAGAACTATATTCATATTTAAAAGAAATTAAATTAGTATTTAAAAATTTTAAAATTTTTTTAATTAATTCAAATTTAATACTTGATATACCTCATATAAGAGAATTAGCCTATAGTATAGCAGAAGTTCATTTTAATTAGTTGTTAAGATACCTCAAAAAAAATATTGATCATACCTAAATAAAGTATTAGCTAATTCTGAACAAAAATTTTATAACTTGTGAACTTTTAAAAAACTAGTAAATAGGTACTAAAAATATATTATAAATTTACAATATACTAATTAAGTTTTATATTAACAACTTTAATTAAGATTTTACAAGGGTTTTGTTATTTTTTCACAATAAATATATATAAATATCTTCTAAATAATACATATATGACTATTTCTAATACTACTCTTATTATTATAAATATCATATTCACAACTATACTTATATCTAAATAAATTATAATAAGAAATATTAAAATATAGTTTAGAATTTTAGTTCAAAATAATGCTTTTACTCATAAAAATTACAAACAAACTAGTTGAAGCAGAATCTTTTAATTTTACTTACTAATTGTTTAAACTACTAAACTATCTTCTGACTTTTCAAAATATTTACCTTTTATCTAGTTTTTGAAACTACTGTATCTTATTGTATCTCAGGTTAAAAAACAATAATTTTAAAGGTAAACTATCTATAACTCAAGTTTGTTATTATATTTTGTATTACAAAAAAAAAGTTTCATATAAGGCCATATAAAAAATTTTTTCTGTTTCTCATAACCCGGCCGGGTTATAAAACTTGAGTAGAAAAATTTAAATTTTAGAGGCGCAGCATAGTATTAACCAATCAGATTCATCAGTACGCGAAAGACTATTTAGTTAAATGAATAAACCGGGTTGTCCCCGTGACTGTAATCATCTGACTTGTCGTTCTTTTTGAAATTTTATTGGTTAATTACTCAAAATTCCTATCTTCGTGGACACCCTCGTCCTTGCACATACAGTACAATTTTGATCTAACTACTTCGCTCTCTTTTACCAGTCTCTTTAGGTTTACTAATTCGTTCTAGATTTCATTTCAGTAATTAGTTTAAACTACGTGGAATTTTATGATCTATTACAAAGGACATACCACGTTCGCTACTCTTAACTATTCACTATCTGAATCAAGTAAGCAGTCACTCTAATGCTAACTTACTACGTTGTACAGATCACATTTCTGTATATCAAGCTTTTACGAATTAAAAAGAAAAATTGATACTGTACAGGCACTAAATAACTCCCACTCGCGTTATTTAATTGACGTGCGCATTATTTCGGGTATGATCATGTGCGTTATTTCGAAATAAAGGTGAATCTGGGCGATTGATGAGTATACATATAATCACTAGTTATATTTGAATGCTCGTTAATTCGAAATATGTATGCTATTTTTGAAAATAACGTTATTTCGCGCTTTTATGGTAATTTTCTATCCATTCATTCGAAGAAATAGATAGTATTAATAAACCATTTTATTATTCTGCTAATAAATGAATCAACATTATTTTTTACTATAGAGAAAAAAAAATTTTTATCAAATCACTATTTTCTAGAGCAGTGTCAAAAATTTGAAATTTAGTGCACAAAGTGCACATATCTTTGATTGTATATACCAACAAATGTATATGCGAAAAATTATGTACGGGGTGCATATACGCACATCAATTTTTTTTCACTGCTCGAGAACTTGCTGTGAACGTTTTTTAGTCTTTTTACCTTTGACAAATGAATTCTGTCGTTTAGCTGAACCATTCAAACTAACACAGTTTTCACATTTAGGTCGTTTTTCTTTAGAAAGAGGGGTACGTCTGGTATCTTGAGGAACAGGCTGATTGATATCAAGGCTACCACACAGGTAACAAACATTTGGATAGATTGATACTGAATAATATGGTTTTTCAATTGGAGAGTCACAGGTCCAAGAGTCGTTGACGAAAACGTACTTAAAAATTTCCCTGATAGGGTCATTAACTGCATCTTTTGTATTTTTGTTATCAGGTTCTTTAGGACAAGTATTGTCCATTTCATTAATTTCATTTTCTTGATCGCTTTCATCACTTTGTACATTTTCATCACCACTTTTATCACTTCGCATATCATCATTGCTTTCATCGCCCTCAATGTTACTGGTATTATGTTCTTGGTTAAAATTGCTAGGACCAGAAACAGAATCATCATCGTAACTATAGTTATCATGTTCAGGAATTTCACCTGATTCATAATGTTGTCTAGGTGGCATAGTAAGCGATAACTCGCAGGTATTTTGAAAGGCAGTTCCGCAGGTGTATAGGATTGTATCGAGAAATCGACAAAGTATTTGACGATCCTTTTCCAGTAATTTTTTTGCACTAAATAATAGTCTTGGTTTTTCATATTCTGCGCAACTAACAGTAATTCCAACATTTCTGGCATGCAGTACAGAGGGACAGAAGGGCATTGTGTGGTTCACTTTTCCTTTACCCCTTCCTCTTGTTTGAGCATATTTTGTTCTAGAAATTGCTTTTTCGCGTGAAGGTCTGTACTTTTCCGTTGTATCAGTGCCATAAAGTTCTCCAAAAGATTTATAATGCGAATCTTCTCCAGGAACAGGATCAGGAAGGTTGTATAGTTGAGTAAATATTTCACGTAGGCATCAGGGTGGTAGGCAAATTGAACAACTATTCTCACCACACTTTTTTATCGTAAAAAAATAATGCCTTGTTGTGCAACAGTGGTCAAAAAATTCTTTCAAGCATGGCTTTTAAAAACAGTTATTATTGATTTATGTTTTTGTTGGATTATATTACAGTAAACTATGAGATATAATGGGCTATAATTTAAAAATTCCGTTATATCTATAGTTGACTGTATAAATAGATCTTTACCTGTTGTTTTAAATTTTTCATTTCGTAATCATCATATGTTATAGTGTTATCGATTAGAAGAATGTTCTCCTAAAACTGTTCTATGTCTTCGTTCATTGCAGCATTAAACGTTTTAAAGGGCACGCCTTTTAAGGATTGTCGTTCAAATATTTCATGAACAAAACTAATTGGCTTCTGGATACTTTTTATTAGTTCATCTCTCAAGGTAGGGTTTGATTCTGCAATTTCCCGGATATCTTTCATAGAGTTTGCTTTATTAATAAGGTTTTCGTATTTATCATCCATTTTGCTACGCATCAACCCGATGCATTGTAATCCTAGATTGAGCGTCGACATTATATGTTCAACAGGGTTCTTCCAGAAATGCGAGGGTGGTGTTCTTGCTGCAACGAGATAATCAAGATCAAATGCTAAGAATAAACAAATGTAAGATAACTGAACCCGCATATATGTGCACCAGTGGTCAGGACCACCATCTGTGTAAAGGCATAAGATGGGATTGGGTATTTTTTGTGTTAGAAAGATGTTATAAAGTTCAGTCATATGGCGTAAGGGAGTGGAGGGCTGAAAAATAGGGTCTTTAAGACCAATGCACACTTTTCCTCTGTAAAAATCTCCATCGATTGTTTCAGGGATATCACAAAACATTGTTACGCTTGGCACCATTCCGGCCTTTGCAAAATCATGGTCACTTACTGCGAATGTCGTATCTTTTCCTACTATTACTCGTTTCCCCCTTTCCACTGCTGCTATAGGATGACCAGGTTCTCCGATTTTACATCGGTGCTTATCATCTAGAAAAACAAGTGTTGTAATGTTGCGAAACTTAATAGCAAACTCTTTTTCATACTGAAAGATTGCAGACGCATAGTGAGAATTCGGATGATTGGCTCGTAATTGTCGAGTTTGCACCATGAATTTTAAAGGTAAGCGAGCCGTATATTGTAGACTAGTTAGATGTGTGGGTTTTTAGGCCAGAATTGTAACCTGAGCCATTGAGCACTGGGAATTGGCGTATCCAGCGGGCATTTATTTTTGAGTTGTTGAAGTAGATCGTTTATTGAAATTGCCGTAGCAAGGTGTACAATCGGATCGTGATGTCATTCGTCAACTGCGGTTACTAGATCTGCTGCTTTCCCTGAGAGAAAACGGGCTGCTGCTTCCCAAAAAGCATTATATTTTTCTGGTCTTCCCTCATTATGTTCCTGAAGGTCAACTGTAATATCGGGTCGCCAAGCTCTAAAACTAATTTTACACGACTATCTACCTTTTTTTCATTTGCAGATTCAGCAGCCGACATATCTCCTGTTAGCATACGATAAATTGTTCGTAATGGAGCTGGTTTAACCATAGGCAACAGCAAATCACAGGTGCACATGAAATTAGCTCGCATGATATGTGTATGGTATAGAGATGCTTCATTCTGTAACTCTCTTGTAATGCGCGTCATTTCTTGCACAATTTTTGACTGAGTAGCATTTTCATCAATTTTCCAAATTGATATAACATTGTAAGCATTATTCCCAGAACTATAACAGTATTCTCTGATCTTAAAAGTAAACACCTGTGAGAGGCCTTGAATAAAATGTAAGCATTGCCTAAAACGAAAGATAAGCCATTAATTGATGTATTTATAAGCGCAGTATATATTAAATTATATACTTACATTGGTTCTTTTGGTAGATGTTCTTCAAAATTTATTGGTTTTCATGTTGGAAAATCTTTTAGGATATTTTCGAGTTTTTTATATTTTATTTTATTAGACGAATCTATCCAAATATTACTTTTATATATATTTACTGATGTAGCTTTTTCTATACTTCGAACAGGTGTTTCCTTTGTATGATTTGAAGTTATTACATCCCGCTGCTTACATAAGTATTTTGTATAATTGGAAATCGTAATTACAAGGTCATTGAGTGCAGTGTATAACCAGCTAAAGTTAGAGGATCGTATCCATGATGATGAAAGGTAAGGGATAAGTGATTGACAATGAATATCTAGCTCGTTTATATCAAATTGTTTTCTTGTAGCTTTATATGATTCGGGGTTTGCACGACCGAGAAATTCATGAAACAGTGTAGGTAAATCATAACCTCGTTCTTTTAATTTGGTATAATCACACATATCTATGTACCAAAGAGCTTCTGATAAAGAAATTATGAACTGTTTTCCTTCATTATTTGCTGATTCTTGTGTCGACCAGCCAATTTTATGATTCTGAATTAATTTAACAATATCGTGACGTAGTAACTGCTTACGGTTTGATTTTGATGAATATGAAAAATTTGGTACGTAGAATTGTTTGTTTTGAGAAGATTGCATAATGATATCAAACCCGTTTTTGTATTTATCATATTTATCTAAATTGCTATATTGCACTCCATCATTATGAAGATGATAATGGACATTCTTTCCAAACTTGCTGGTGAGTTCGATAATTTTACAATCAGGACTTGTTTGTGTTGTATTCATCGGTGGATTAATTGATTTACTTAAATCAATACATTTTATTTGCTCAAAATCACCCACATTAACTAATGTATCTGGCGAAATTTCATTATTAACCAGCTTATAAAAGAATTCTTTAAGCGTCATTTCGTATGGGATCGGATGTATATACCATCCATGTAATGTTTTACTCCCTTTCTATATGCGTACATTTGCGAAAGTCATTTTTTAAAAAAGAACCAGGTATGAAAATATTTGCTTAAAATTTTTTTTATTTCTTTTTATTTTTTATTTTACAAAAAGCTCTATGTGATTACGAATTTTAAACTTGCTTCTTATAATTTATATTGCCATGACTATTAATAATATATGGCATGCACTTTTTAACTTTGAGTTATGCGTGAATGAATTTTACAGAATTTTTTAGGCGTGATGCTCAATTCAGAACAAAACTTGAATTTTTGTTATTTTTAAATGCTTGTAAATCTTTCTTTGCTTTAAATTCTCACAGTCTACCGCTACCAATTAAAAAAAAAACCTATTGGTACGTAAGTTTTAATTCATTATATCATATTTTTCGAGTTGACTAAAAGTCAATAGATCGAAATGATAGTTAAGCAAGGATATGCCGGAAGTAATCCGGTCAAGTCTAGAAATATAGCCATCTACCCTAATCAAGGGTATGTATTTAATTAATTTCTTATTTGGATCATGATGTAATTGCTGCATAATAGCAGTAGTTCATTGTTAGGATTGAATAGAGATGTACCTTGCAATTGATGATAATTTCATCCTCGAGCAAATTATTACACCATACCTTATGCAAGGGAGATCCTTAGTATAAAAAACTTAGCATTAGTAATTTATGGATGTTACTGAAACTAATGAATTCGCTAGATTCAAAATTCCACTTTAGATGACGTTACCTTGCACCTTGCGCAAGTTCATATAATTTGTGGAATATATGCTAGTTTTACCTTGCGTAAGGTACATCTCTAGGATTGAATATACGTACATACGTACGTAAAAGATCACTATAAACAAATTTTCACTAGGGTGTCCAGAATTTTGAGGTATTTCGTATATCAGTATCAGTATGGTACGAGTGAGCAAATCAGTATGGTACAGGCCGAATTTTAGAATCCGTACCATACTGATCTGGTGTTATATATATATTAGCATTAGAGTATGAATTATAACTGATCAGTATGGTGTGGTTTTTTAATTTTGGCCTGTACCATACTGATTGCTATAATCCCAGAATTTTGCAATTTTTATGTTATTTTCCGCATATAATTGTTGCAGTTGATTTGACCAGAATTACTAATATTGTTTGGCGGCTTTGACAGACAATTGTCAAGTATTATTTCGGGACTATATTTCAAATTCTACAAATCTGCAAATTAAGAATCCAATTGAATTGTTATTTAATTGCGGGTTCTGGAAACTTCGCATTGTAGAATTTGCTGAATTTTTGCAATTGCAGAATTCTTAACACCCTAATTTTAACCCAAATTTTCTAAACCTCAAAAATTTTTCATTTGGTTGCAACTTAACACTTCATATCAAAGTCACCCTGCTTTATGCAGTTTTGGATACTACCAACTAGCACTATGTATACATCTCAATAACAGTGATAACTGATGCAATTATAATTGCTATTCTGGGAAGTATATTTGTCTCAGTTTATAAATCAATAGTATTGACGTATACTGCATATTCTTGATACGTAAAAAGTCATTAAATATCTAGCTAGCACTAGCATTTTATTTGCTAAATATATATATCCCAAGTAATAATATATTGTATGTATGCAATACTGATATTTTTTAAAGTGCATTATGATCACGCGTGATAAAATTCATTCTCGATTTTATAGTACAGTATATTCACCAATTAATACAATCTAATTAGAAACCAAATTTTATTAAACTAGTTTTTTAATTGAGTGAAATACGGTTTGTATGTATATATTTGTTGCTAATTAACTTATATGGGAACTAGGGTAGTATTTAGTACGTAGTACAGATTAGCAGTTTATACATATGTAGCAAAATTATCAGTTGAGATCTTGAAAAAAATTGATCAATTCTAGTTTAGTGATCAAGATTCTAATACTTCCAACTTGGAATTTTGGAATCTTCGTGAATAAGTTGTAGCAAATTATAAAAAACTTTTTTATAGATTGCCGGGTCATGTTTTTTTAAAATAGTAATTTTAATTTTTTAATTTAAAAAATTTTTAATCTTAAAAAATAAAATTCCGAGTTGACAGGTTAAAAAATTTTTTTGATGTTATGAGAAACATAAAATTAATTTTATATGGCCTAATATAATAATTTTTACTATTAAAAGGATTTTAAAAATTACAATTGACTATATAAAAAAAAACAAACTCATATAGTATAGAAAGAACTGATGAGAATATAAGGAAAATTAGTTTAGAGTTTAAATTAATGAGGGACAGAATATTAAAGGAAATTTTAGAAGGGTTTAAAAATGTATAGGTATAAGATACAAATATAATAGGCTGTAGCATCTTTCTTTTAAAGTGTTTTTAGGTACTCATAAAATGAGACTAAAGGTATAGAGGCTAAAAATCACTATAGCAGATTATATTTAGGTACTAAAGTAGTAACTGAATAAGTTAATACTTAGAATTAATTACTAGATAGTAGAATATACTAGATAGAATTTTTAGTTATAGACAAAAATTTGATTAAATAAAGTATTAGCATGATTGCTGAAAAAAAAAGACTATATAAAAAAAAGATTATTACTAATTATATTTATTCTAATATCAACTAATTAAAGCAAACTTCTGCTATACTTTAGCTTATAAGGTAAATATATATATTATATAATTTAATATCTATATACTAGTTATATATAATTAATAATTTTGCATAATAAAAATCAAATATATATACATATAATTTAATTATATTATCTATAATACTATATCAAACTTTAAGTTTTTTTCTTAGTGATAGTTAGATAATACTTTTAAAGAAATATATAATCATTAGAAATTAAAGTTTGTTAGATAGAAAGAAGAATTATCTACTAAAACAATTAAAAATAATCTATAAATATTAAAAGAGAACCTTAAAAAAAGCAAAGCTCAGTATATTAAATTTTTATAATAGATTATAGGTAGTATTAAATCTTCAGAACTTTTATAGTGCAATCTACTTGCAAGTTAGGTTTAGCAATTATCAGAAAAAGATTATAAGTTTTTTATAATAAAAATAAATATATTTTAATTAAGTTTAAAAGTTAAAATCTCTTTTGCAAATTATTATTATATATAATAAAATTTATTTCTATTACAGTATATTTTCAATCACAAAATAAAATTAAAAGATATTTTATAAAGCAGGTGTTCTTGTTTTTTTTAACTTAGTTTAATATTTTATCATTTATTTAATATATATTATTTATAAAATATAATTATTATTAATATAACTCTTTCCATAAATCACTTGTACCAAAACTTCTTGCAAACATTTTATTATTACTCAAAATTCTATTAAGTAAACTAACCTTAGGCCACTAAGTAAAGTTGTTCACAGCAAAATTTTACTTTTAGATAGTCTAGTTTTATCTTTTCTAGACCTTTTCTTGCAGAGTTATTAAATAATATTTATTTATCTAGTTTTTTTAAAATATCCTAAAATTATACTAAGTAAACAACTTCTAGACCTCTAAGTAAAATTGTTAAGCACAAAATTTCACATCTAGTGGTCTAGTTTTATATCTCTTAGACCAAATTTTATAAGGATATTTTATATTTCTAGTTTACTCTTATTTACTTAATTATCTCAAAATTCTACTAATATAACAACTCTTGTCCATTAAAAGAGTTAGATTTTTCTAAGTCAGGGCTTTATTTTAATATAAATTTTATCAAAAACAGGTTAAAACTCACTAAATTATTACTGAAAACCTGTTTAAAAGCTCTTTAATTTCTTGTAGATTACTTAGAATCTATCTGTAGCAATTTCAGAAAATTTACTGGCTTGCCTCAGATTTTTTACTTTTTTTCTTAACTCTAAATGAATTCAGATCACAAAACTCTGCTCACAAGATCTAGAAATTTTATTGATCATCTGGAAAATTTATTGGCTTTTCCAAAAATCTCAAATTATTCAACTAATTTTGATCTGTTTCTATTAATTTCTTTTGCAAAAAACAATTAAAACCTAATACTACTAGAATATCCTCTTCTAATAATAAATCAATATCTTCAAAATACTAACTTTAACCTCAACTAAACCAGATACTATCAACTTGAACTTCTTCTATACCAAATATGCTAGTAGCTTTAGTATTACTTTTCTCAAAGAAAGTTTAACTACTTTGTATTCAATTTCTGCAAAAAGTATACCTTTAGTCTATATTACTAAAATTCTTTGAAGTAATAATAAGATTACTTACTTTATCAAGGCTTTTCTAACTACTACTACTGACTTCTGCTTTTGTAATAAATATTATACCAAATTTATTACTACTAGCAACAAACCTTTCAAGCTAGTTCAAACTAACTTTATTCCTTTTGTTGCTAATACTAAAAACAAAAATACATAAAAAATGCTACAAAGCATTGCTATATCAACTGATAATATTCCTCTTTTTACCTACTCCAGTTACTTATCAATATTCTTGTCAAAAATGCTAAAAACTAATCTCTTGTAAAGTTATAAACAACTAATATAAGCTTAGCAATGATACAATTTTTTAAAATAATAATGCTTTTCATTATATCTGTTTAACACCTGAAGTTGCTGAAACTTCTATATTAACTGGTATTTATACAACATCCTCATTTTCTCTAATGAATTATGCTACTACTAGAAAAAATCTCTTAGCAACATTTCAACAAAATTAAATAAAACTTATTGCTACTTCTATTACCTCAATAATAGCCTTATTTAATACTCAACTAGAAACTATATCTTTTACCTTAATAGTATCTATTCCTATAAACAATACTTCCTCAAATATAGAAATTGATATTTCTACAACTTTAACTACTGAAACTGAACAACTAAATACATCTCCTAAAACTCTCTCACCAACTTATACTAATACACTATCTATTCTACTATTATTTTTTTTTTTTTTTGTATTAAAGATGAGATTATA